TCTTGTAATGATCTGTCTGTAGCATGGTAGTTCACTTTCTGTCTTATATCTCCAACAGCTTTGATTACATTTGTAAAAATAAGGATTTATTTTGACTCAAGGAAGTCATGATTTCGTTAAGGGAGAATAGAAGATTTTAACACAATGGCACAAAGCAGACTGGATTGGCCACTAACAATAGAAGTCATATCTGTGTCTTATATATCAATTCACAATACTATGAATGAAATATTTCAAGAAATCATTACAACTGATGCAAGACTTTGGAACAGACGTCTTCGGCTAACAACAGACGTCTTCGGCTAACAAGACAATTCACATCTAGTAAGCACACTTCAGTGTCACTATTTCCGTTCAACTGAACTGAGATGATGCATGTTGGAATTACTCGTGAAATATTTGACTCCTAAAATGGAAATGGGATATGATATATATATATATATATATAAATTGTGACAAAGAGAGGTAAGAGTTTCCGCTTTTGGGTGTGTTTGAATTTTATTTCCAAATTTTAACTTTTAATTAATTTGTGTGTGTGTGTTCTTTTAGCTTCGTTCCCGGATATATGGGAATACCATGTAATGAAAAGGCAGATAGTGCTGCGAAATCAGCAATATTGCTTCCACCTGTTGATTTTTAAACCACTTATTACAAAATTTATAAGATCACAGTGACATCAGCCAATGGCATCTTAGCTAAAGAGAGCGGCGCCGTAACGAGGTTGCCCTTGCCCGTCTCCGGACAAAATTGTGAATTTTCTTTTATTGCATTGCAAAACCAACACAGCGATAGCGTTTTGTCAATTTCTAAAGAAGGTGTTGCGGTATATTTCACTTTTGCAATATTGACATTATCGGATATAAAGGAGAAACGATACAGAGCATAAAAAATAAATTCTGGGTAGTTTTAGTGGAGGGGATAGGTAGGGGGCAGTTGGATGGGAGAGGGGAATGGCGGATGGCACCAACTGTAACATTTGTATAAAAGAAAAAGAAACGTACATTTCTCATAACACAATTTATCACATAATGTACTGTGTTATCCAGTGAATATACACATGTCATATTTTTTTGCGTATTAACCCATGTAATATGACCTATCAGCCCTGTGATTGGTTGTAAGTTCTAATTGTTTCAATTGTGACGTCACGCCTAGGACAAGTATATGACATCACAGACTTACGCACTGGAGTCAAAATGGCAGCTTTCTACATTTCAAGGTTGCATGAAAATTGTCGTTTTACACAAATAAATGTCACAAATCTTGATTATGTGATAAAAGGATCTTACACTCGTTTTTATTTCATATGAAATTTAGAAAACTCGTCACGAAACTTTCATTTTTGCTCACCAGAGGCTTGCTTAATTGAAAAATTCTTTTCTCGTTTCATAAATCTCATATGAAATGGAAGCTCATGCAAGATCCTATATAAATGTTTGATAATTAAGACTCGTTTTGGCTCGGTCATTGACCAGACTGTCACAAACTATTATGAATGATGCAGTTGTTGGTGTAGGAACGTCACTAAATCACAGACATTAATAATTTAACAGTGAAACCTATGCGTTTTTACAAGATTGCCTAACTGGAAAGCTCCCGGGGATCAGCCCCCGAGCCAACCTATCAAACTAAAACGTAACTGTTCTATTATGCATTAGTCGCTCCTTGACAAAGGACACCAAATGTAGTATAGCGTCCCAGTCAGTAATTACGCTGTGGTATTGTTTGTTTATGGGACATCCAAATGGACGAGGATTTGCATACAAATAGGAGGCAAGATACCAAGTCTGAACAAATTAGCATGTTCTCCGAACTGTCCTTCTCCTGTCGATGTTACAGTTGTGTACATGAAATAAACATTTCTGAGTTGCAAATATCATAATATGAAACTCACTAATTCACCAATAAGATATTTTTTTTATGACGACGACAGTACTGATATCTTCTTCATTGTGATACTTATAACTGGAGAAACAACGATATGTATATCTAGCAATTTTATTTTGTATTCAAAACTTCATTTTGAACCAACATTGTCTACTGAAATATATCATACTCAATACATCGGGTTAAGGATGATGTTGCAATAACATATTTTGAACCGTCGGTGATGTAAGGACACTTCCAATAATCATATATATAATAAGGCGCCTTCATGTTATATTTGTGCTTACAGACCATGCACGTACAACGCTCTTCCAAAAACCTCTCTGTATGTAAACAGCTAAGCCGTTTCTAGAACGAGTTTGAATATTCGCATATCAAATCGTTTCAACACAAACCTATCTGGGTACAATGACCAGAAATCAAACACCAGCTGCGCGTGGCTTGTTGGTGACATGAACCCTAGAGATCACGAGAGATCACATGACGAGAGATCACATGACGAGAGATCACAGGAAGAGAGATCACAATTCTTGACGAGAGATTACATGACGAGAGATTACATGACGATGACGAGAGAGCACATGACGAGAGAGCACATGACGAGAGAACACATGACGAGAGAACATATGACGAGAGATCACATGACGAGAGAACACATGACGAGAGAGATCACATGACGAGAGATCACATGACGAGAGATCACATGACGATGACGAGAGAGCACATGACGAGAGAGCACATGACGAGAGATCACAGGAAGAGAGATCACATGACGAGAGATTACATGACGAGAGATTACATGACGAGAGATCACATGACGATGACGAGAGAGCACATGACGAGATATCACATGACGATGACGAGAGAACACATGACGAGAGAGCACATGACGAGAGAGCACATGACGAGAGAACACATTACGAGATATCACAGGACGAGAGAACACATGACGAGAGATCACATGACGATGACGAGAGAGCACGTGACGAGAGAACACATGACGAGAGATCACATGACGAGAGATCACATGACGAGAGATCACAGGAAGAGAGATCACAATTCTTGACGAGAGATTACATGACGAGAGATTACATGACGAGAGATCACATGACGAGAGATCACAGGAAGAGAGATCACAATTCTTGACGAGAGATTACATGGCGAGAGATTACATGACGATGACGAGAGAGCACATGACGAGAGATCACATGACGAGAGAACACATTACGAGATATCACAGGACGAGAGAACACATGACGAGAGATCACATGACGAGAGATCACAGGAAGAGAGATCACATGACGAGAGAGTACATGACGAGAGATTACATGACGAGAGATCACATGACGAGAGATCACATGACGATGACGAGAGAGCATATGACGAGAGAACACATGACGAGAGATCACATGAAGAGAGATCACATGACGAGAGAACATATGACGAGAGATCACATGACGAGAGAACACATAACGAGAGAGATCACATGACGAGAGATCACATGACGATGACGAGAGAACACATGACGAGAGATCACATGACGATGACGAGAGAACACATGACGAGAGAGCACATGACGAGGGAAAACATGACGAGAGAGATCACATGACGAGAGAACACATGACGAGAGAGATCACATGTCCAGAGATCACATGACGAGAGATCACATGACGATGACGAGAGAGAACATGACGAGATATCACATGACGATGACGAGAGAAAACATGACGAGAGAGCACATGACGAGAGAGCACAGGACGAGAGAACACATGACGAGAGATCACATGACGATGACGAGAGAGAACATGACGAGATATCACATGACGATGACGAGAGAAAACATGACGAGAGAGCACATGACGAGAGAGCACAGGACGAGAGAACACATGACGAGAGATCACATGACGATGACGAGAGATCACATGACGAGATATCACATGACGATGACGAGAGAAAACATGACGAGAGAGCACATGACGAGAGAGCACATGACGAGAGAACACATGCCGAGAGATCACATGACGATGACGAGAGAGCACACGACGAGATATCACATGACGATGACGAGAGAACACATAACGAGAGAGCACATGACGAGAGAGCACATGACGAGAGAGCACAGGACGAGAGAACACATGACGAGAGATCACATGACGATGACGAGAGAGCACGTGACGAGAGAACACATGACGAGAGATCACATGACGATGACGAGAGAGCATATGACGAGAGAACACATGACGAGAGATCACATGAAGAGAGATCACATGACGAGAGAACATATGACGAGAGATCACATGACGAGAGAACCCACGACGAGAGAGATCGCATGACGAGAGATCACATGACGAGAGATCACATGACGAGAGAACACATTACGAGATATCACATGACGAGAGAACACATGACGAGAGAGCACATGACGAGGGATAACATGACGAGAGAGATCACATGACGAGAGAACACATGACGAGAGATCACATGACGAGAGAGCACATGACGAGAGAACACATTACGAGATATCACATGACGAGAGAACACATTACGAGATATCACATGACGAGAGAACACATTACGAGAGATCACATGACGAGAGAACACATGACGAGAGATCACATGAAGAGAGATCACATGACGAGAGAACATATGACGAGAGATCACATGACGAGAGAACACATGATGAGAGAACACATTACGAGATATCACATGACGAGAGAACACATGACGAGAGATCACGTGACGAGAGAACACATGACGAGAGATCACATGACGATGACGAGAGAGCACATGACGAGAGAGCACATGACGAGAGAACATATGACGAGAGATCACATGACGAGAGAACACATGACGAGCGAACACATGACGAGAGAGCACATGACGAGAGAACACATGACGAGAGAACACATGACGAGAAAGCACATGACGAGAGAACACATTACGAGATATCACATGACGAGAGAAAACATGACGAGAGATCACATGACGAGAGAACACATGAGGAGAGATCACAATTCTTGACGAGAGAATACATTACGAGAGATCACATGACGAGAGAACACATGACGAGAGAGCACATGACGAGAGAGCACATGACGAGAGAACATATGACGAGAGATCACATGACGAGAGAACACATGATGAGAGAACACATTACGAGATATCACATGACGAGAGAAAACATGACGAGAGATCACATGACGAGAGAACACATGACGAGCGAACACATGACGAGAGAGCACATGACGAGAGAACAAATTACGAGATATCACATGACGAGAGAACACATGACGAGAGATCACATGACGAGAGAACACATGATGAGAGAACACATTACGAGATATCACATGACGAGAGAAAACATGACGAGAGATCACATGACGAGAGAACACATGAGGAGAGATCACAATTCTTGACGAGAGAATACATTACGAGAGATCACATGACGAGAGAACACATCGAAGCGGTCTTCTTTAATAATATCTTCCCGACATGTACACTATAATGCGTATGTATCTATGTTTGTTTACTTCTTGCATAGCAATTCATTTCGTACCACTTACCTATCTGTTCACGTGTAGTGTAATTTGGGTCGTTAAAACATGCTACAATGCTACATAAATACAGCACAATGTTTGAAAATTGAATTTATCCGTGTTTACTTGCTAACTAGCCACCGAACTCACAACACAAACACACGATTGACACAGAAACCCTGTGAGAGTGGCCTCAAACCATATGGACACTGGAGTCGACTCTATAATATGGAAACTGATTGTACTCATGGGGACGTCAGCTCCACGGAACTGTTGTCAGTGACTGAAATCGGTGACGATGTTTTTAAACCTTCTGGAAACGTAATGCATTAAATGTATTGATTTCTGGACAAGTCAAATAGACGAGGAAACCGACAAGAATATGTCATAGTCACTCTTTATATTGTCACCAAGCGATGTTGGTTTCGCTAGTGGTAGTTCCACATGGAGCTATATATCAACGAAATGCGGAGAATTCTGTATTTAAGGGCGTGTTAATCCTGCCGCCATTTCCAGCCAATAGTATGAGAAAGAAACACAGAAGATATAGATCTAGTAACATTGTAAATATTTTAGAAACGTAGTTTTTTCAGATTGGATGGATTTAATAGAAGCAACGTAAATTCAGCTCAAGAAGCCAAACAAACATAAAACGCTACAGGGATAGTTTCCGGACAATCATGTGTTTTGTACATTTAAGCCTGAAGTGCCTGGTTAATGTTTCCTCTGCCGGATCTAGTTTACCAGCCAGAGATCTGCCGAACTGAGGCATTTTCACCCTCTTGTCTGGGTAAGTACAAGTATTCTTACATATAATGCACCTGACTAATAATTTTATACGTGTTTATTCCCCCAACGCTTGTTCACGTTATTAAGTATAATTCGTGATTAATCCCCAGACGAACCCAACGGCCGCCATTTTGGACAAGTTCCCAATCACGACTCACCTGTCCCTCAATCAACGAATATGCGCGTGAAGGAGCGAGATTCCATTCCAAGTGGTTCTGACGTGCTTATAGTTGAACTGACTGGAAAAATGAAAGGTGTCCCAAACGTGACATGTTGTAATATAGAACCTCGATTGATGAAAACATTAGAAAAACTTGAAAGGTACCGTTCTTTTCGGCTGTTAAATCTATTACGAACACATGTTAACACTTGAAAAAAGCACGTGCACGGGATTGAATTATTCTGAAATACTTTAAAGCGTTTAAGGCTACATCCGTGCACTGTTTACTAAAATAAAGTTGTAAACTAATACTCATTCGTTAAAACCGAAAATAATTTAGATTGTTGAAAATATAACGCACGTGACTGTGTACATGTATAGTTACATAGAAATCGTCTTAACGGTTAGTCGGCCTCTATTTAAGGGTTAGTTTGTGGCGATCAGTCCCAGAGGTATCCGATGCTATTAAGGAGGAGGATTTTTATGTGTTATCGTACGAAACTGAAGCTATGAATACAGATTTTAAGTAGTGGCTATCGGACCGGTCCTACGTTTCTCAGTGAACAAATATGAAGAAGCTGGACAGATAAAATGGTGAGTATTTTAAAATAGTATAACTATTATACTTACGAACCGTATTGATTTTAGCACTTAAATTCAGGACAAAAAAATCTTTAAAACTAAATGTTCCGTTTTATTCATATATAGAATACGTTTATTTCTGGAAAGCAAAGTATCTCGACTTTCGATTTTTCACTGTTCTCAAGAATGACGTCTGAACTACAAATATGTTTTTTCGAAACTTTATTAGATGAGTATATCATTAGGTACTTTGTTTTTAGAGACTGAAATGTACGGGCTACTCTGATTTGAATCCTGTTCATACAGAATTATAGCTATTAAGATCTATAAAACAGAGAGAGAGAGAAAAACATTAAAACCCAATAAACAGGAATGTCTGTCCTAAAGTTGGTTTATGTAAATGAAATTGCGTAATGAATGTGTTTATAGTCCAACTGGTTCAACATTGTTATAAGCTTGATATACGTTTGTTATATAACATTGTTATAAGTTTGATATCTTAATCTATAGTTTTAATCATGAAATAAGTAGACTAAGTATCTCTCTCTCTCTCTCTCTCTCTCTCTCTCTCTCTCTCTCGTATGTATTTGTTGTAAATTAAATTAATTTATCTATTATTAGAAATTGCATTATAAAGCATTATGGAAAGGGCGTTTATAAGTTCCAATAACTTGTGCCTAATCCTTTTGTAATAATATTGCAATAAAATATGTTTAAACTAAATGTAAATATACTGAAGTCTTTCGTAGCTGCCCACCCAGCCTCTTCTCAACTTAAACAATAACCCTGATTAAGTTCACTGACCAGCCTAAAACTTTAAGGTATTATGCCTGAGAGTAAAAGGCAAACAGGCAGCAAAGTTGATTCCATTATTAAAAACAGCAGCTGAGAAAACTTATGTAAATTAAATATAGATTTTTTTTCTAAAAGATGTATTTTACTTACATGTATATAATACTCTTTATGAATATGCCATGAACTGCGAGGTTCCGAATTCAAATACAATTTAAAAGCATACAGCTTGAAATCGCGCTTCTTCGGAACTCCGTTACTGTAAGTTTGTCCGTCAGTTGTCAACATATGTCATGATATTCGGAGTAAGCTCTTTGATAATATATCTCCTGTATTTTTGAGACCTATCTTTGGGAATTAAGTGTTTAGGTAGCTTGCCATTATTCCAAGACATTTTCTCTTTTAAATTCTTATAAGTAACAGTACGCCATTTACTTGATTGAAAGAATGTCCGAAAAGGTAACAATACGCCATTTACTTGGTTGAAAGAATGTCTAAAAAAGTAACAAATGTGTTGGGTTATAATGTTGAAGTTTCAGACATCTCAATTTCCACTTAGCACTTTCAGAAGATGAATGATCCTTTCAAATTTTATAGGGATTTTTGCACTTTCAGATAAGTGACAAGACAAGGATAATAAAACATCCGATAAACAAGAATTTGAAACTGGAAAATAAGCAGACATTTTTTACGTCCCCGAATTCCGCAGATACCGAAGATACCACAGACTAGTTTCTCTATATTGTTTTCTTTGTTTGTTTTTCTATATCGATTTACTAAATCTATAAATAGGTGCTAGCTTCCCCAGTCTACTGATGAGCAACAGGTAACAGTAAATGAAACGAACTGCAACTCGGATTCGAGTCACGGCACGGCGCTGTGTTGTATCTTTGAGCAAGACACTTTACTCCGCTTGTTCCAGTTTACTCAGCTGTAAACGAGTACAAGTATATGTGGTTGGGCAGTGCTAGAATTGTTGAATGCTAGCTGTGAGCGTCGAAATGGCAGCACCGGCTGTATGTTCCCCAGGGAGGTGAGAAAAAATATTGGCTGGTTACAAAGGCCCTATAACCACGGATAATAATTTGTGAACTGCTTTGAGACGACCTACGAACCAGGTTGTGATAAAGCGGTATATAGGAACCTCGACTCATTAACATTAAAGCAGGAAGCTTTAGCCAAACAGTTATAAAATTGTATCTTTATAAAGGCTTTTTAAAACACCATCTCCTTTTACTGTATTTCAAACATGTGTTTTGGAATATTTAAGAGGTTTTGTTTTGGTTTTTGTTTTACCCAAGTAACATTGATGTGTCACGAATAGACGAAGTGACCTGAGGTACAAAAACAAAATGTGTATACGTATTTTATTTCGCTTTAGGCATCAACTTACTAATTTTAAATGTAAAAAGTTAATACTTTGTTTCGTATTTCTAGTGACCATTTTACGTAACAATGTAGTGGACTCTTCTGGTGGACTACCAGTCCCCGAGGTTGGCTGTAACCTTGTATATACTTGTGGGGTACCAGTATCCGAGGTTGGCTGTAACCTTGTATATACTGGAGGACTACCAGTCCCCGAGGTTGGCTGTAACATTGTATCTACTGGTGGACTACCAGTCCCCGAGATTGGCTGTAACCTTGTATCTACTGGTATACTATCAGTCCCCGAGGTTGGCTGTAACCTTGTACCTACTGGTATACTACCAGTCCCCGAGGTTGGCCGTAACCTTGTATCTACTGGTGGACTACCAATCCCCGCGTTTGACTGTAACCTTGTATCTACTGGTGGACTATCAGTATCCGAGGTTGGCTGTAACCTTGTATCTACTGGGGGACTACCAGTCCCCGAGGTTGGCTGTAACATTGTATCTACTGGTGGACTACCAGTCCCCACGTTTGACTGTAACCTTGTATCTACTGGTAGACTACCAGTCCCCGCGTTTGACTGTAACCTTGTACCTACTGGTGGACTACCAGTCCCCGCGTTTGTCTGTAACCTTGGATCTACTGGTGGACTACCAGTCCCCGAGGTTGACCGTAACCTTGTATCTACTGGGGGGCTATCAGTACCCGAGGTTGGCTGTAACCTTATATCCCCTGGTGGACTACCAGTCCCCGAGGTTGGCTGCAACCTTGTATCTACTGGTGGACTACCAGTCTCCGAGGTTGACTGTAACCTTGTTTCTACTGGTGGACTACCAGTCCCCGAGATTGGCTGTAACCTTGTATCTACTGGTATACTACCAGTCCCCGATGTTGACCGTAACCTTGTATCTACTGGTGGACTACCAATCCCCGCGTTTGACTGTAACCTTGTATCTAATGGTAGACTACCAGTCCCCGAGGTTGGCTGTACCCTTGTATCCCCTGGTATACTATCAGCCCCGAGGGTGACCGTAACCTTGTATCTACTGGTGGGCTATCAGTACCCGAGGTTGGCTGTAACCTTATATCCCCTGGTGGACTACCAGTCCCCGAGGTTGGCTGCAACCTTGTATCTACTGGTGGACTACCAGTACCCGAGGGTGACTGTAACCTTGTATCTACTGGTGGACAGTCAGTCCCCGAGGTTGGCTGTAACCTTGTAACTACTAGTGGACTACCAGTCCCCGAGGTTGGCTGTAACATTGTATCTACTGGTGGACTACCAGTCCCCGAGGGTGGCTGTAACCTTGTATCTACTGGTGGACGACCAGTCCCCGCGTTTGACTGTAACCTTGCATCTACTGGTGGACTACCAGTCCCCGCGTTTGTCTGTAACCTTGGATCTACTGGTGGACTACCAGTCCCCGAGGTTGACTTTACCCTTGTATCTTCTGGTGGACTACCAGTCCCCGAGGTTGACTGTAACCATGTATCTACTGGTGGACTACCAGTCCCCGCACTCTTCTGGTGGACTACCAGTCCCCGAGGTTGACTTTACCCTTGTATCTTCTGGTGGACTACCAGTCCCCGAGGTTGGCTGTACCCTTGTATCTACTGGTGGACTACCAGTACCCGAGGGTGACTGTAACCTTGTATCTACTGGTGGACAGTCAGTCCCCGAGGTTAGCTGTAACCTTGTATCTACTGGTGAACTATCAGTACCCGAGGTTGGCTGTAACCTTGTAGCTACTGGTATACTACCAGTCCCCGAGGTTGACTGTAACCATGTATCTACTGGTGGACTACCAGTCCCCGCATTTGACTGTAACCTTGTATCTACTGGTGGCCTACCAGTCCCCGAGGTTGGCTGTAACCTTGTATCCCCTGGTGGACTCCCAGCCCCCGAGGTTGGCTGTAACCTTGTATCCCCTCGTGGACTACCAGTCCCCGAGGTTGGCTGTAACCTTGGATCTACTGGTGGACTAACAGTCCCCGCGTTTGACTGTAACCTTGTCTCTACTGGTGGACTACCAGTACCCGAGGTTGACTATAACCTTGTATCTACTGGTGGACTACCAGCCCCCGAGGTTGACCGTAACCTTGTATCTACTGGGGGGCTATCAGTACCCGAGGTTGGCTGTAACCTTGTATCACCTGGTGGACTACCAGTCCCCGAGGTTGGCTGTACCCTTGTATCCCCTGGTATACTATCAGCCCCGAGGTTGACCATAACCTTGTATCTACTGGTGGACTACCAGTCTCCGAGGTTGACTGTAACCTTGTATCTACTTGTAGACTATCAGTCCCCGAGGTTGACTGTAACCTTGTATCTCCTGGTGGACTACCAGTCCCCGAGGTTGGCTGTACCCTTGTATCCCCTGGTATACTATCAGCCCCGAGGTTGACCGTAACCTTGTATCTACTGGTGGACAGTCAGTCCCCGAGGTTAGCTGTAACCTTGTATCTACTGGTGAACTATCAGTACCCGAGGTTGGCTGTAACCTTGAATCTACGGGTGGCCCACCATTCCCCGCGTTTGACTGTAACCTTGTATCTAATGGTAGACTACCAGTCCCCGAGGTTGGCTGTACCCTTGTATCTACTGGTGGACTACCAGTACCCGAGGGTGACTGTAACCTTGTATCTACTGGTGGACTCCCAGTCCCCGAGGTTGGCTGTAACCTTGTATATACTGGTATACTATCAGTACCCGAGGTTGGCTGCAACCTTGTATCCCCTGGTGGACTACCAGTCCCCGAGGTTGGCTGCAACCTTGTATCTACTGGTGGACTACCAGTCTCCGAGGTTGACTGTAACCTTGTTTCTACTGGTGGACTACCAGTCCCCGAGATTGGCTGTAACCTTGTATCTACTGGTATACTATCAGTACCCGAGGTTGGCTGTAACCTTGTATCTACTGGTGGACTATCAGTATCCGAGGTTGACTGTAACCTTGTATATACTGGTATACTATCAGTACCCGAGGTTGGCTGTAACCTTGTATCTACTGGTATACTACCAGTCCCCGAGGTTGACCGTAACCTTGTATCTACTGGTGGACAGTCAGTCCCCGAGGTTGGCTGTAACCTTGTATCTACTGGTGGACAGTCAGTCCCCGAGGTTGGCTGTAACCTTGTATCTACTGGTGAACTATCAGTACCCGAGGTTGGCTGTAACCTTGTATCTACTGGTGGACTACCAGTACCCGAGGTTGGCTGTAACCTTTTATCTACTGGTGGACAGTCAGTCCCCGAGGTTAGCTGTAACCTTGTATCTACTGGTGAACTATCAGTACCCGAGGTTGGCTGTAACCTTGTATCTACTGGTGGACAATCAGTCCCCGAGGTTAGCTGTAACCTTGTTTCCCCTGGTGAACTATCAGTACCCGAGGTTGGCTGTAACTTTGAAGCGTGACGTTAACCTGGTAGGGTTAGCATGAAGCTTAAGATGAAGAATACAACGCTGTAGCAATTGTTATGAATGTGTAACGTTATAACGTTATAAGGGGTTCTATCAAATTTATTAAAGACTACCAATGGAAAATACGAATTAAAATAGCTTTTCATACAGGAATTTAGAGGTAAATACAATTACTTGATAGTGCCTGACTAAAAAGAAGTTAATCGTATTCATTAATTATTTTTATTAGTTATCCTTCAGCTTTCTAAAAGAATCCTATTTCCGGACTTAATTAATTTAGAAGTTTTATGTATTCCATATGATTGTTTGCCATAAAAGTCAATAATTCTGGACATATGAGAATGTGTCAATCCACGCATTAATCTTTCAAACTTTCAAACGGGTCATCAATTATATTGACCAAGACAAACTTCCAAGTCTTGAATAATATCTCCTTCTTTTACTGTCCATACAAAGGAGCCCTAAATAGGTGCAATATTTCCTATTTGACAGTACCCGTTGAAACTAAGTATTTTATAAAATAATTTTTGAACTGGGTTTGAAAAGGGAATGAATTTCCCGTTGCCTGACAAAAAGGAAATATCACGCATCAATTGAATAATTGATTAAGTAATTAGTTAATTGAATTTTTCCGCTATATAGCCCTTAAGCAAAAATAGGTTTTAATGGATCAAAGACCATTTACGCAATATTTCACGAGCTGGTGAAAATTGGCACTTGTGACTTGAAGAGGCTGCTGAAGAAATATACGTATTTTTGTTTTAAGGGTAAGATGGATGTTTTTGAAAACAGGAAACAGATGCAACGTATTAAGGACCGGTAAACAAGAGTGATAAATACTTCTGTTCTGGAAAATTCTTGTTTTTACGAACGTGTCATTTTCTTCCACAGGGTGCGGCTATCACTATGGACGAAAACACTACCCCTCAAGTTCTCATCGAAGCCCTAAGGGAACAGTGCCTTAAAAGGGGCTGTGGGGGAATTAAGGGGCTAGGACTTGTGTTTAAAAATATGGACATCGATTATTCCAAGAGGATTGTATATGAAGAGCTTCGGATAGGATTACAAAGATACGGTATTCTCATGTCGGAAAACTTTCTCCGGTCGTTGTTTCATACATTAGATCGAGACAATAGTGGAGGGATTGATTTCCAAGAATTTATGAAGGCGTTAAGACCTCCGATGAATCAGGCACGTATCGACGTGGTCAACGAAACGTTTGATTTGCTAGACGCTGATCAGGACGGACTGCTCAAAACGGAAGATTTAAAAGGTGAGTGAAATAAACAGTAAATAATGACGTCACAACAAAAATTGATAGGTTGGTAGATAGCATGCAAGGACGTCACAGCATCCGGATCTCTAGATGAAAAGTTGACCCAGTTGTTGCCAGTCCCCTAAATGCTAAACGTGAAGCAACGAAATAACCACTATCATTTTTAAAGACTTTGGTATGTCGACTCCCGGTCTGTTAGCTCTTATCATTTCGAATGGTAGGGCAAATAAATATAGTTACGAGGTCACAACATTCAGACCACTCAAAAAGTGACTGCAATTGTAAAAAGGTTGGAAAGATTTAGGGACCAAAGGTCAAATGAACCATTGATGTTGACCAAGTGTTTATACTTCAATTTTGTTTAAAGAAATGTTAAAGAGAAAAGGATGACAGTTTTGTGGTCGGGAGATTTCCGTTTCAACGAATTACTTGTCCGTACGGTTGAGAGAACAGGTCGTGTATGTTTCTACGGGTAAACTTCATGTCCCGACGTTTTTGGATTTATATTGATCTCGACTTCGACAATCTGAGTAATTAACAAAATTCTCCATTACCCAAATTAACCGGAAAATAAGTAATGTAGAACGTCCTGGGTACTAGACGTTAATAGTTGTTTAGATTTTATTCAGGCTCATATTACCTTTTGGATCCATATTCCCTCTGTAATTGTAAATCTAAACAAAACCTGTGTAACAAATTATTTACAGTGTATTGGTGGTCGTATTTGAGTGAAGACCGTTTACGCTGAACAAATTTGTAAAACTGAATAACTGATTTCACCGTGGAAAACTAATATGGTAGCTTTGAACCGATAGAGGAGAATCCGAAATGCGCCATAGTTGTTGTCGCTAAGTTATAGATAGTCACTGGGAGTTATCGCCCTTAGCACGTGTTTTTCATTTTTTTTTTATATTTACTTTGCGTCCGTTTATATTTACTGTCTGCCGCGATGTAAAAAAATCGCCGAATCGATTTCATCGGATTATTGTTTACAACGTGAATTCGTTAACTGGGCTTTCAGTCACGTGAAATTATAACAAAAAGATAAATTAATAACCGTGGTTGTAATGCAGCATTGAGAATAAATGATCATTGAGTATTTATGTGACATATTTGTTGAAGGCAATGTGTCCCAATGGAAAAAAACCACTCCATGAAGCAGCCTTGGAATTATTCCATTGTAATTTCAAACAGATAAGCTGCGAATATTGAAATAGCCGAGAGACACCAAAACGCGCACTCAATTGTAGCAATACTAACGATACGTATCGATTAGATGGTTTCCGAGTCTTTGATCTCAACACTCGAGTCGTTTGATCCTGAGGAAGGATATGGACCTGTATTACATCACAGATACTTATATATATATAGTGATGTCACGATTGTATGGTAAACATGTAAGTTATGTCACGGATACGTGTATATCATATGTATACATGTATAGTTACGTGTCACTGGTGTATCTAAGGTAAAGATAGCCAACGAATTAAAATGTGTTACCTCCTTTGATACTGGGACATATAAAGCCAAGAGGTGTTTTTGACTTTTAACATATTTTATTGTCAAAAATAGGTACAGAGGATTGGCACACGTTATGAAGCCATCTCCTATCAACAACATATACATGTGTATATATATATATATATATAAGTGATGACGTAGAAAATTAATTTCAAATTCAACAGTTGTTGAAGAAGTCAAATACATGTAAATTGTAATAAATATATACATATAGTTTAAGTTCAAAATCTTCCGCTAGATTTTATGGAGGACTGCACATGTTCGAATATATTACAATTTACATCCAAAGCCAGGTTTTCATTGCCAAAAAATAACAAATTTAAGCTAATTTGCATATTTAAGTTATTCAAAGCTTAAAGCATTACTACACGAGCATTTGAATAACATTAGCACTCAAAAAAGAAAAGATATGCATTTTCACAATTAAGCCCACAGTTTACACAATTAGAATATTGTACTAAAGCGAGCTACATTGATGTCTTAGTCTTGTATGTATAATTGTTTTCCATCGTACCTATGGTAACAGGGCTGACTTCTATGTTTGTTTACCGTACATATGGTAGCTAGGCTGACTTCTATGTGGGTTTACCGTACCTATGGTAACAGGGCTGACTTCTATGTGGGTTTACCGTACCTATGGTAACAGGGCTGACTTCTATGTGGGTTTACCGTACCTATGGTAACAGGGCTGACTTCTATATTTGTTTACCGTACCTATGGTAACAGGGCTGACTTATATATTTGTTTACCGTACCTATGGTAACAGGGCTGACTTATATATTTGTTTACCGTACCTATGGTAACAGGGCTGACTTATATATTTGTTTACCGTACCTATGGTAACAGGGCTGACTTCTATGTTTGTTAACCGTACCTATGGGAACAGGGCTGACTTCTATGTTTGTTTACCGTACCTATGGTAACAAGGCTGACTTCTATGTTGGTTTACCGTACCTATGGTAACAGGGCTGACTTCTATATTTGTTTACCGTACCTATGTTAACAGGGCTGACCTCTATGTTTGTTTACCGTACCTATGTTAACAGGGCTGCCTTCTATGTTTGTTTACCGTACCTATGGTAACAAGGCTGACTTCTATGTTGGTTTACCGTACCTATGGTAACAGGGCTGACTTCTATATTTGTTTACCGTACCTATGTTAACAGGGCTGACTTCTATGTTTGTTTACCGTACATATGGTAGCTAGGCTGACTTCTATGTGGGTTTACCGTACCTATGGTAACAGGGCTGACTTCTATGTGGGTTTACCGTACCTATGGTAACAGGGCTGACTTCTATATTTGTTTACCGTACCTATGGTAACAGGGCTGACTTATATATTTGTTTACCGTACCTATGGTAACAGGGCTGACTTATATATTTGTTTACCGTACCTATGGTAACAGGGCTGACTTCTATGTTTGGTTACCGTTCCTATGGTAACAGGGCTGACTTCTATGTTTGTTAACCGTACCTATGGCAACAGGGCTGACTTCTATGTTTGTTTACCGTACCTATGGTAACAAGGCTGACTTCTATGTTGGTTTACCGTACCTATGGTAACAGGGCTGACTTCTATATTTGTTTACCGTACCTATGTTAACAGGGCTGACTTCTATGTGGGTTTACCGTACCTATGGTAACAGGGCTGACTTCTATGTTTGTTAACCGTACCTATGGTAACAGGGCTGACTTCTATGTTTGACACCATTGTAAAACAGTTCTCGTGTGAGAGTTTTCTACGGATGTCATGATTCAATATAAAACCAGTAACACGCGAATGATTAGTTCTTGACTAGTTTATCCGTCAGTGACTTTACACAGATTTCATTATTAAATGAACAGAATATTTCCACAGTTGTATTTATGTATTATCATACGATGACATTCATAAGGGAGATAACTACAGTTGAAAGGTTTATTGTGGTCTCGTTCAACCAGACTCTTATTGTTTGCGACAACTACGCTAGTTTTACACAATTAGAGTGTACCTTCGAATGATTTTAGATAAAATTGCGGCAATAGAAAATCTCGGTCGATTTCCAATTTGAGTTAAACCAGACGCTTGATCACTTGTAATTCAAGTCAACAAGAATCTGGTCTCGTTCAACCAGACGCTTGATCACCTCTATTCGGCGTAGCTTTCGCAGGTAACAAGAGTCTGGTTGAACGAGACTAACAAGAATCTGGTTGAACGAGAATAGAACTACGCCGAACAGAGAATTAATTACAAAGTGATCAAGCGTCTGGTTGAACGAGACAAGGTTTGTTAACATAAGCAGTAATTCTTTGGAAGAGTTGAATAAAAAATGAAAAAACGCAAGACCTGTTTGTCATGAAACAGCTGTAACATTTGCCAACTACTGACTACTAGCAGGTGTCTGAAAGTAGAAGATTCTCGCCTTATATTCAATCGCTTGCGGTAAGTGACACGGAAAGGTAACACTTTCCTACTAGATTGTGCTATTGACACCGATCTAGCGACACGATACAACAAGAATATGTATACACTCATATTCTTCATTCGGAGTTTTTGTATCATGTAATGGTCAAACGACAGGTCCACATGGTGACTGTTGTCTCAAGAATATATTTCATGTCAAAATATCCAAGGCATTGCTGAGGACTTATGACTGTAAAGATTGAAGACTACAGAATACACCTTTATTCTGTAAATTCGTCCTTTATCTTAAGGATAGCTGTGCTTCCTTCATTTAACATCATAAATATTTACTGTTTCAATTAACGTCTGAGGTACCCTTTAAATTAAATCTAATTTTGAGAATTGAGAAATACCTTCAACTTAAGACTATTTCCCATTTCCGGGGCTGGTTGTTAAAACATAATTGAACTGCACACTGCTTTTGCATAAAATGTATCTATCTAACACAATCCATATGCTTCCTTCCATTTAATTTGGGGGAAAAGAAAAATATAAGGTGATCATCTTAATTATACAGTTCATTCCAAAGCTCAAACATGGTAAAACTTGATTAACTGAAAATGCCGGAACCTTCGAATGATTTTAGATAAATTGCGGCAATAGAAAATCTCGGTCGATTTTCAAATCCGTGGGTTTGGCATAGATTCTTTCGGAAATCTATTTGACCTAGATAAATACTGGTGTATCCTTTCGGAAGTCTGTTTAAGAGCTGTAACAATAACATTAGTGACGGTATTGATTTTGTGAAGCATTATACTTGATAGGCACGTGGAGTGTTTAACATCTTTTCGACACCATCTGAAGTCCGCTAGGAGATGGCATCGGTGTACACACTTGGGTTAAATCACCCCCATGAGCTGGTTAGGTACTAATGCTCTTTGTGTTGGACTCCAAATACAGGATATAATAAATAATCAACAACTTCGAAATATACTAATGGAAGTTGTGAGTTCCGAATGGCCAAATATGCTGCATTTTACATTAGAGACCGAGCATGTTTTATGCTTTCATGCATTTTGCAGGCCTACGCACA